CCATTTCCCTTTGGGGAACCAAATCAATCCCAGGTGAGTCCTAGTACCCTGGATGCCTATTAATACCAAGTATTGATCCGGATGTGCTGTTGATAGCAAGCCTCTCAGTAAAGGCCATACTGATAGAGTGAAACCTCCTCATCACAGGACTAGTATTAACACCCACTACCTACCACTCACCACACTCAAAACACTCAGTCAACTCATAGTAACAAACTTTCTACCAATAAATACTCAGGTTAGTTACCCAGAGGCTGACAACATATCTCACTTTTTTTGTTGAACTCGGTGTGCTGGTTTGGCTTGTCTTTTCTTGGTGTTTGCTTGGGGTGTCTCAGTAAATCTCTGCATGATTACAGAGCTTATCTAACGTCCTGCATCCCAAAATACACCCAACAATTCAATGTGAGTAGTCGCAAGAAAGCCTGACTGATCTTCTCAGACCCCCCCCCCAAAAAAAAAGCAAGAAACTGACACAAGAAGAGAACATGAAATGGCAGGTATAACAGGACAAGCTGACATTATACACTGTTCTGAGCGGGATCTTGGGGACACTGAAGTTCCTGTGGGACCACAAACAGTGCCAATACAAGCAACTCATTGACATCAGTGGCATTGATTATCCCACCTGCCCCAAATGGTTTGATGTTGTCTATCATCTCTTGAGCATCCAGTACACTTCTTGCCTCCGCATCAAAACTTACACCAATGAAGTCAGCCTGGTCCTGAGAGTCTCTGGCATTGTTTAAACTGATCTGGGATCTCTGATTGAGTGGTTGTCCCCCCAGTTGAACATGACTTTCTCTTCTTGAATTCAGCAAAATCCTCATCAGAATTTCATTCTCACATCTCAAGACATCAAAAAAGGTTCTTTTTCCTCCTGTGAGGCTGTTTTATTCTGTTCCATTATTCCAAAACATGTGAAAAATAAGCGCTGTTCTGGTACAAATATATTACTACCAGCTGTTTCTTATTTATATATATAAACACTTTGACTCCGTTGTGATAGTATTTTTTTGTCACTCAAATTGTATATCTTTCTCTTTTTCCTCCTGAAATGGTATAACTAATAATAGATATTCATCAAATCCTCAGATCCATAGCACAAGCCAATGAGATGAGAATCTTTGACAAACAATGCTTCAATGGATAAATAGGCCTGAAAAACAACCCTCACATCTTGAGCCAAACTCTTTAAAAACAGCCCTGTATGATCATTTCATCATCCGTTTGGTGACACTGAACTGTTTGGGAATATTTGGTTTCTCTCCAAAATGACAAGAAAATTTTTTTACTTGGGAGCCTGCCTTTTGGTATTTGGACAAGGATGGTGCATGACATATCTCAAGTAAAGTATCAGTGAATGTTCTCTGCCGGGACCAGTGTATATAAATATGTATATTCAGCAGGTTTCATTCGTTCATGGAGCTTTGGATTGATTGGTTTGAAATAGTTGACCTGAATACATACAGATGGTGTCGATCAGGTGCTAGGTAAGTTGATAGATGGATTCTTTGAGCTTTGGAAAGGGTTGAGTGGGCAGCAGTATCAGCCAGTTTGGCAATCAGGCCCTAAATTTGCCCTAATTCTGCACAGCCTTGCAGCAGACCACACCTGACACTAATTAGAATCTGCCAATCTAAGATTGGTGATCTTGTTTAGTGTAGTACACAGGAAAGGCAGAGGTTACCTCACACATCCCTTTCGGAACTCAGCAAAAGGTTCTCATGAACAATTTTGAGCTTAACACCATTAGCAGAGGTCTGCCTTTAATCAAATTATCCATGCCTGCAATTCTGAACAACCAGCATGCTTTTTTATTGATGGCCCTGGTGGCTCTGAAAAAACATTCTTATATAATTTCTTACTTGCCAATATAAGATCAACCCACAGGATTGCTATTGCATGTGCTGGTAGTGGTATGTTTTGATTTCATGATCAGTTGATTACAATACACTCAAACTAATATTTTTTTTCTGTATCATAGGAATTGCCGCTATGAACATGTCATATGGGAAAACGGCTCACCTAACTTTTGGAATTCCTTCCAAGTTCTATTGCCAAACACTCACAAAAGGCAGATGTTCTCAAGAATTCAAAGTTGATCATATGGGATGAAGCCCCAATGACACACAGGCATGCACTTGAATTGGTCAATAGATTGCTTCAAGACTTGATGGATTCAGATCAACCCTTTGGTGGCAAGGTAATGGTCCTAGGTGGAGATTTTTGTCAGGTTTTACCTGTTGTGATCAGGAAGGTTTCCTGCCCTCAGATTGTTAATTCCAGCATAGTCAATTCTCACTTCTGGAGATATTTTGAACAGAAAATAGTTCAGCTGTCCATCAACATGCGTGCCACTGGGGATCCTCAATTTCAGCAATTTTTATTGTCTGTTGGGAATGGAGAAGGTGTCACTAATGTTTCAACCAAAATACAGCTGCCAGCCTCAATGGTCATTCATGGTTGATCCCAGGAGCAAAACTTGGATCATCTCATCTCTCAAATATTACCAAATATAACCAGGTCCTTCTTGCATCCTGAATACTTTCTGGACCGGGCTATTCTTTGCTGCAAGAATATTTCAGTAAACCAAATAAATGCTAGGATCTTGCAAACCATTCCATCAGAAGGCAGGACTTGCACAAGCTATGATTTGTTTGAAGATGAGCCCCAAAACCTATACTTGCAAGAATATATCAATAGTTTAACAATTTCAGGCTTTCCTCCTCATATTCTGGAATTGAAAAGGGGGTCCCAATCATAATGCTGAGGAACCTTGATTGGGCAATGGGACTTTGTAATGGAACCAGATTGATTGTAGAAAATTTGGGCCCTAATGTCATTTGTGCAAAGGTGATATAAGGAAACAGAGTCAGCAATTTGGTGGCCATACCTCACATTCCTTTCATATCAGACCCTGACAAATTTGGATTGCCTTTCAAGCTCATACGCAAACAATTCCCCATAAATCTTGCTTTCTCACTGACAATCAACAAATCTCAAGGTCAGACAATTGGAAATGTGGGACTTGTACTTCATGATCCTGTCTTTAGTCATGGACAGCTCTATGTTGCATTGTCACAAAGTAAGTCCAGCCATACTACAAAGGTAGTAGTTCCTCAACCTGAAAATAGGCCTCCTTCATATGAAACATCAAATATTGTTTACAAAGAAGTTCTGTCACGTGTCCATGGGCGATGATTATATTCATGTGCTCTTATGTATATAATCATTCTTTTTACTGTTGTCTTTCATGTTTTCTTAGATCACTTCTTAATTTCTTCTTTCTTTCTTTGATTTAATTTTTAGCTTTGTTCCATAAATTGTTGTATATAATAATATGCATTCTTTTCACTTTGTATATATAAATCATTCTTTTCACTGTTAGATTTCCTATATTCTTAGATCACTTCTCAATTTTTTCTCCTTTATTTCTTTTGTTCCATACATTGACTTTTCATCCCTGTTTTTGCCTTTTTCAATTTACTGGAGGACTTCCCGTCGCAATCTACGACCCTCCCAGAAGTTGATTTACACCCCTTAGATCTATTTTTTTCATCAAAAAAAATATTTTTTCTGAAGCCTTCCGGAAACAGCTGTAATGTCAGCTGGTTAAAATCTTAATCGTGTTGTTAATTTAGGACTGAGTGAGGCCTAAAAAGCACTCTAAATTGCGACGGGAAGACCTCCATTCAAACCCTTTCCTTGAGAAACTCCACAATGCTAAATAATGACATTTATCCCCTTTGAAACTTGAAAAATACCTTTTTTTCTATAAATCCCCCCTCAAACCCCAAAAATGGGGGCTATACCCTTGTCAAAATATATTTGCAGACAGTACAGCTATTTCAGGAAGTCTTGTCCACTTGGGCTCGCAAATTCTTTTTTATTTTTTTATTTTTTTATTTTTTTACTGAACTGGACCTGTCAGAACTGAACTAGTGATGACAGCTGTACCTCCTCGGCTGTAGTTCAGTACAAAGAATTTTTTTAAAAATTTCAAAGAAAAAAAAAATTGCGAGACAACTGGACAACCCTTTCCAAAATAGCTGTATGTAGGAACTTGGACCTGAACATGAGACTTGTGACTGGATGACTTCCCGTCAACATCTGCGGGGCTCCCAGTTTCGATTTAGAGCCGAAAAAGCTAGATTTCCCTGCAAAAATCTAGACTTTTTGGGTCTAAATCGGAAACTGCGAGGCTCCCAGATCCGACGGGAAGTCCTCCACTATACAGCTATTTTGGAAAGGGTTGTCCAGTTGTCTTGCAATTTTTTTTTTTTTTAATTTTTAATTTTTTCTTTGTACTGAACTACAACCGAGTAGGTACAGCTGTCATCACTAGTTCAGTTCTGACAGGTCCAGTTCAGTAAAAAAATATAAAATATAAAAAATAAAAAAATAAAAAAGAATTCTCGAGTCCACGTGGACAAGACTTGCCGAAATAGCTGTAATATATTGTCTGACTTTGTTGATTGATGGTGTCAGTGTCACTGTCACAAACCTGAGCGGAGTCTCCCACTTCACGACTTGAGTTGAAACAGGCGCAAGCTTAGTCGGGCCTCAGAAGCGAGAACTTCGGTTTGGCATTTGTGCACAAGCGGTCTGGAACGGTAACGATTTTGAATCAAATGGCCAACCAGGACTGCATCACATTCGGTACGGCGGCAAAAATCTTGAAATATAAACATCAGAATAAGTAATCGTAACGACCTGTCTACAAAAGGCCACAGAGTCTCCCGGCCGACCGCAGCTGGCAGTTTGTTGGAGGAGACTTCAGAAACAAGCAAGGTCTTCGAGCTGAGCTTGGTCTGAGCTATACATACGAGTCATTCGGTCTCGTCTTGACCCTTCACCCCCAATCCCAATCTATATATTTACGTACTCACATCACAGCGCTCTGCACATTTGCAGTAATGTTCGCGACGTCTCATGAGCCATCTAGAATTTGGCGGGTCTTGCCAGTTCAGGTTCTGCTGGCCTGTCAAGTTGGCTGCATGCCCCCGACTTCCGCGATCCGAGAACTCGCCAATGGTGGCTCAATGCCCCCAGAAGCTCAACATCAGGCTTGGATCGCAGCTTCACCAGGTTTGGCAGAAGGCAGAGTAGTCATGGATGCAAGACCATGCAAGTCCCATCACTCCCTAACTCGCGCACTCGCTGATGGCGCTTTTTCTAAAGCACCCGAACATCAATATTTGGCTCCAGCGGGGCTTTTACAGGGAGAGTTCAAGACGGCCTCATTGATTAAAGATTGTCGGTCAAGACATCGGTTTCAAGTCGTAGAAGCTAATTCACCAAGCCCATCGCCCACCAGCCCCACAGAAGTTCCTACGCCTGTCGGCTCTTTTCTGCCGCACCATATGCAAGCGGCACAATTCGACGATACTTCAACAATGAAAACATACACACGCTATGTTATTAATTCTGCCCCTCAACCCACCCCAGGCGACTCTAAATCAACTATGCAATAGTCCACAATCTTCACACGCGGACACATCTCAGTAGGTGATTCCGCCCGCTCCTTTCTTCTCGTTTTCACTCTTTACTTATCCTCAATTCCCTACCCAGAAACCGACTTGTCCTCAAATCCGTAAGTCAGTGCTGTGTGGCCCGCAGCAACCACTTTTGTGTCTGAATAATTCCACTCATTTTCCCCCTTCCCGGACTCTCCACACACCCAGTTGCACCCCAAATCAACTCACCCCGGGCCATCTCACTTGTCCTTGTCCTGTCCTACTACCAACACCTCAATAATGAATCCTCACCATCAAAGAACTCCCAACTCGAACCTGGTACCCAGATCTTCCGAAATCACCCCCCTGACGGCAGGCCACCAGTTTTCCCCCCAACATCTTCCACCACACAATGTGCAGAACTCCCCTCACAGTCAACAGAGCAGCCAAGCCGGTCAACATTCTCATTATGCTAGCCTCCAATATAGTCAAAGTCCAGGCCACTACAACACCTTGAACCAACCGCTGTTCCATCCACCCTCTCCGGATGTCTTCACACCTACCCCAATAACCCCATTTGAGCATCACCGAGCTCGACTTCAATCCACGCCACACCCCACCGGCCGTTCTACCCGAGACCAGGTCGTATTTTTGCCCATCCTGAGCTCTAATTCGTCCAGCTCCTCTTCCCATCAAAGCTTGAATCCTCACCTCAACACTAGGAGAGCTTCTCACATCAACAGATCGGACTCCAGCTGCTCATACGCCTCAACACCAGGTGCCCCAATACCTCATCAAGTCCTACGTCAGCGTGTTGCTCCACTTCATCCATCTCCACTCTCCTCGTCCACCATCCAATCAAGCACTTGTCAACCCAGCACTCTCACCACTCCACCAAGTCGAGTCAACCAACCCAGACCAGGAAATCAAGACTTAACTTCTACTTCCTCTCCTGTACCTCCACCTCCCCTTGCAGGGCTCCATGACCGTATCAGCAAAAAGAGGAAGTGTTCGGAAATCTCTGAAGATGGCGGTCCAGAGGCGCAATCGGAGGAGGAGCTGTTGAAGCTTACTGAGGCTCAGCTTGCCATTCAGGCACGGAAAGCCTCCAAGAGAGCCATGTCTGATGATGATCGTGATTTCTTCGCAAACTTTCACCATCGACAGCGCAAGCTGCTCATCATCCAAGCAATTGAACGGGGCGTCTCAATGCCAATGGTTGATGGATACTTGTAAGTTTTTTCACTGGTTTTCACTATTTATAAACGAGCTGATGTTTACATCAACACTCTCAGAGGGAAGCGAATGGTGATTAAAAAGCCCAGTGGGTGGAACCGATTCATGCAGACTCCCAAAGTAAGGGAGGTGTTTCGCGGAGGTAAGTCATTTATGTGTGTCGTTTTCTATCTCTGGGTCCCTGGCTCATAAAAAGTTGCTTGTTGCCCTTCTCATGCAGCCCAAAAAGGTGTTAAAGACAAGTCAGCTATGCCGTTGGTCTCAACCATGTGGAACGAATTACCGGAAGAGGAGCGATTGCGCTACATGAAGCCATCCAGCAAGAAACAACATAATAACCTGGACCCTTCAATCGCAGCCACTAACAATGAGAACCCCAGCGGTGAGGCCGATGATGATAATGAAGATGAGCTGCAAGTAATCATGCGTCGATCAGTTTCATTCAAGCGGGCATCCGATCAAGTTCAGGACTTCATGGCAGATTGGTTTGAGCAGGTACGTAAATCTTGTCACTTGTCTTATCTGTCTCCTCAAATTTTGAAATCTACTTGGCTCATGTTCTTGTCTAATACAGGCGGTTCACATCTCAAAGACTTGTGACTGTGAAATGGTCATGTTTGCAGTGTCCAGGCACCTTGGGACACACTCATTTCAGTTCACCAGATCAACCCACGGCGCCACTCGGTTTGTGATGGGGGCTCAGATTCTCGATGGCACTAGACACTACGCGGCTCGATTCCAATCGTACATCACTGGCTATGAAGTTGCCCAGATCGCAAAGATTAATGGCAAAAAGCAAGGTAAGGGTCCAAGCAACTGATGCCTTCATCTTGTGATTCTAACTTGCATTATATTGTTGTCTAGGCCCACCCAAGACTCCATCGGTGTCTACGGCTGTGCGGTTGTCACATCTCATCAGTCAGTATCTTCTCTTCTGCCCTCAGTGCCTGTGTTGTTTCTCAACTGATGAATTCTGCTTTCAGCTGAGAAAACCGAGGGGGTCATCAAAAAATGGCCCTGGACTAGGACAGAATTTCGCCTGGCCAAGCTGAAGTACAGGCTGGTATTGCTTCCTGGGTCAAAGACTAACCGCGATTGGCTTATGAGGCCTGGTCGCGAACTGAAGGGGCCTCGGGAGGCCACATTGCACCTCGATCTTGACAAGAAACTCATAGACATTGTCCATGATCCCTTGATTCCGGATGATGTGACCGAGGCGGATTATTCCTCTAGCATCGTTTCAAGCGACTCAAACACCGGAAGCAGCACTCAATCAAATTCGCCGCAGGACAAGCAACTAAGTAATTCTTTTCATACATCATTGGATGAAAATGATACAGCTGTGTCTGATCAGCTGTCACATCAAGTTAACTATGATGGTTTTGAGAGCGATGTTAGCCATAGAAGTATAGAGGAGAGTGAGGACGAGGAGAGTGACTATGAGGAGAGTGATGATGAGGATGTGGATGATTGAAGTGATTGTATCCAATCAGGTTGATTTGTTTCTCTTGTTCTCTCATTCTCTCGCTATTCTTGCATGTTTCAGTTGGTGATGTTGGTCGGTCTTTGGTTTTTGTCATGGTTGTTTCATACTCGCTACATACTCAACAAGTTGCTTTCATTAAAATTTAAATTTCTTTTCCGCATCTACAGACTGATATTTTAAATCCACTGTCACTCGACTTTGTGACTCTAATCCTATCAATATGTGTCACTCACTTATTACTGACTTCACCTGAATTCACTCGCTACCAGTCATGAAGCAATTATCAAGTACAAGAGCCTTGCACAATTGATGAGTGAGTTGGATGAACGGTTAATCGATTGTCCAACTCACTCATCAATTGTTTGTCCAACTCACTCATCAATCGCTTGTCCAACTCACTCGTCAATTGTTGACCCAGCTCACTCATCAATTTTGTGTCTAACTCACTCATCAACTAGCATTTCTTCTGAGGGTTATCAGTGGTCTGAAGTTCATTCATCATTTTTGAGATACTTGCTTCTAATTTTTCCAGCAGGAGTTGAAGGCACTGATGTTTTCAATTCAATATGAGTACGTACTGTGCTCAATTTGAATGTGAAGAAAGCATCTGGCCATCCTGCAGTCCAAAAATAGAAGCAAGCATTCATCCAGAGAAGAACCAAGCCACTGATATATCAGAAGAAGTGAAGTGATGGGTGAGTGAGTTGTAAAATTGGAAGTGTAATTGATGAATGAGCTGGATGAACGATTGATGGGTGAGTGGGATGGACGGTTGATGAGTGAGCTAGGTGAACGATTGATGAGTGAGTCCGATGAACATGGGTGAGTGAGTCCGATGAACATGGGTGAGCTTTGTTGGTGAAAAAAATTTTCAGGTAAGCCCCCTGGCAAGCTTGCCAGGGGGCCTACCTGAAAAATGGTTCTGAAGATGTGGGTTGGGGAAAGGGTCTGCCTTTTTGCACACCAAGGATTTCCCCCATGTACACCAAAAAAGTTGTGCACTCTAAGGATTCTTGGAGTTCACTACCATTCACACCGGTGACCATTCACTCCAGATTTTCTGGGAGTGCACACCAAAAGGGGAAAAAATTGATGATTTTGGAGTACATGGTTGTGCACTCCTGTGAATATTGGAGTGCACAGATTGGCACTCCTGTGAATATTGGATTGCATGGGCATGCACTCCAGTGTTTTTACTGCCCAGGTATTTCTTGTTGTTTCAATCCTGCTCACTCCAAATCATTTGGAGTGCACAGAGCTTCACTCCAAAAATTTGGGTTGTTTTCTTGGACTCTTGGGCTGATAATCATATCATAAATAATTCATGGTCTTTTTGATTCATGGCACTCAACAGGAAAGGAAATTGTTTTGTAATTTTTGAACACCATAAGGGCCTTCTCAAGTTTCAACAGACAGAGAAATTTTTATTTACTTTTTGGAATCCACAATGACCCAGTTATAGACAGTCAGGCCCTTCTTGTGTGATATCAGCCTGGGCATCCAAGGGAATACTCCCAATTTTTTGAGTGAAGCTCTGTGCACTCCATATAACTTGGAGTGAGAAGGATTGAAACACCTAGAAATAACTGGGCATTAAAAACACTGGAGTGCATGTCCATGCACTCCAATATTCACAGGAGTGCAAATCTGTGCACTCCAATATTCACAGGACTGCAAACCTATGCACTCCAGATTCTTTGGAGTGCACAACCATGTACTCCAAAATCATACAATTTTTACCCTTTTGATGTGCACTCCAAGAAAATATGGAGTGCATGGTAGTGCACTCCAAGAATCCTGGAGTGCATGGTAGTGCACTCCAAGAATCCTGGAGTGCAAAAAGGCAGACCCTGGGGAAAAATCTGATTGTGCCAGCCCATTCCCACCCTCTTGTTCATACAAAATCTCATGGTGCCTTGGTAGACTAGCAATTAATGTAACCCCAGAATTCATTTTACCAGTACCAAAAAATGGGCTAAGATTATGTTCCTCATAAAAAAGTGAAATTCAACAAAAGGTAGATTCCTCATAAAAAAGTGAAATTCAACAAAAGGTAGAATATGTTATTTAAGGGAGAAAAAAAAGATACATTATCCACAATAGAGAACATGGATAAAACAAGTCACATTATCATATCAGAAAGTACAGTTCTAATGTAGTGTAACATAACTCCCCATTGCTGGTACAGTGAGTTAGTCATTGGCTCCAGACTCTTGTACTAGATCTGCTTGCATTGTCTCTGTAAGTATGTTCTCAATTTCAGCAAGTTAGGACTCCTCATTATCTTCTTCCTCATCACCAGAGTCCCCAAAAGCCATTGGCAGCGATTCAGGATGGCCACCATAGAGTACAAACAGCAATTCGCTTGTCATATCGCCTGGTACTTGTGAGAGCAGCCCATGATCCACAGCTCGCTTGATCCGGGTAACTTGCTGAGCCCAAACACTTATCAGAGTATCGTCGCCGTCCTGGGGTGGAGTCTTTTGAAAAAGTTCGGGCAATCGGCTGTCCCAGTCGAGCTGCAACTCACTTATTTCCAGAAAGCTGGAGTGCACAATCAATGTAGCTGAATCCCACTTCTCCGCCAGGTTGGTATGTGCTGACAAGTATTGATGGCCAAGAAGGGACTGTAGGGCTGGTGGTACCATAGGATTATCAGTTGGATATTCTTCTAGCTCGCCAAAAAGTAGCAGCAGTCTTTCATGGCGCTGGGTTGCCCATCTCATTGATCTTCGAACCTCCCAGCCTAGCCGTCGAACTTCCTCTTGGCCTCGTTGAAGGGATGCTAGCCGACGTATTCCTCGCTGAGTCAATGTGTCGATGGCCCAAGGTTCGGAGCCATTGGTGAAGAGACCGTCATTCCAGAATGTGTCGTCAGGTTGAAGTTCAAGCAAGTCATTATATTCCAATGAGCGAGGGCCGGGTCGTCCTGGGTTGGCGGCAATAAACTCGCGGCCCAATTTATTGTACTTATCAAGCATGACTCGGACTTTTGCAGCTCTCTTCCGGATTGATTCAATAATCTTTTGCTGGCCACGTGTACCTGAAAAGTACACATTCAATCATCAACCAGCCAGCTAACATCATGAAACAGTACATCATCATCATACCTAATGTAGAACTCTCGCCTGGGCGACAGACCCGAAGAAGAGGTTGCTTCTCCTCCACAAGTGCCAGGAAGGCTTTCCTCACCTCTGTCTTTGTGTACCAGACCATGGCAAGCTTCTCCCTCTGCAAAGCTATATGTATGGAAAATGTTAGAAGACAAGTTAGATTGAATTATGTGACAAAGAAATAAATTGCTGACCTGGCAAGCTGTCTGCAATCTCATTAGTAGCAATGATTCTCCTCTGCGCCTCAAGCTGCAAAGACACATTTGCACAAGTGGTTGCTCGGATGAGAACCTGTTCAGGGGTCATTGCATTCCCAATCAATTCCCTAACAATGATGCATTGATTCGGGAAGAGGTGGAGACAGTAGTTTTAAAAACCAAAGGTCAGATCTGAGTGAAATAAACATATGTCAAAGAAAATTGATTGACTAACCAGGCCTTGTTGAGTTCATCTTCAAGGCATAACAGCCGTCCAAGTTCGAGCTCCTGTCTCTCAGACGTGAGGGGGTTATCAAGGTGGTATGATAACTCTTCATTCCACTGTTGATTGAGGAAGTCCCTGTTGTAGTTGGAGCCAGGTGTGTAAGGGTTGGGTGTGGCATATAGCTCAGCAAGGGCAGAGTTTGCCCACGATATGACCTGTTGAGCATGATCAAACTTTTGAGATAGCCAGTGAGCTGTCCAAATATGGTGATTAGTCAATGAAAACAATTGAATCAAGTGATGTAAATTTACTGACCCCCCTTGGTATTTAGCTCGTTGGTGTAGTAATCTGCCCGTGACTGGATAGATGTGAGTCGGTGCAACCGAGTTGAGACACGGAGGGTTGAGATCAAGGGGGAAAGAAAGGACCAGAGCCTTTCAAGTCCCTCCCCATCTGATAGACCCCACCATTTGTTGAAGCGTGGGTTGTACTTGACCTGGCATGACCATTCATGTGCGTATGCGTGAAACACAGATGTGCCAAATCTCAAGTCTGGGAGCCGGTCATTCAACAAACCTCGCTTCAAGAGTGCTTGTCAGCTTTTGAGTACAAGGATAAATTTAACATTTTTTGCTTACCCGCATGACATGTTTTTCAAGGTGACACCCAAGATCATACAGGATGCCAAATTTATGTTGAGGGAAGTCTGTGAGAATGCTCCTGACTATAGCTACTGGGTAGTATAACCTAAATATATGATTGATAAGCCTCATGAATAAGTAATTATTAGCAGAGTTGGGACTTACTTTTCTCCGGTCTTATAAATGTTGGCAAACAGTAAGGGTACATCATGTCGGCAAGTGCTAGCAAACAACCCGTTGTCATCACATTTCTCCCAAGTTGATGCTCCACGAGTATCATTGGCAGCCTTGTGTGAATCAGCACACGGAGGCTATTAAAAGATGATGAAATAAAAGCAGCATCAATTTTGGTGTTGGTTGACAAAACGATTAAGTAGGAAATGAGCCACTTGCATCAATACCAACTGCCGAGGCCTCTGTGGCTTCAAATGAGTTGGCAATGCTTGTGATATTGGAGGGTTGGAGGAATCGATGTGGATAGTTGTTTTCCAAAGGGTTATCCTTACTTGCATAGGCATAGTGGCGCTGCTGGAAGTTTCCATCTAAAGCAATGATGACGGTTGGTTCGTTGGGATCAGATTTGTTTTCATGTTTGCTAGGACCAAAGCAGCACGGGCACTGGTTTGCCCATTGCTCAGTCCGGCTGAGTTGTAATCCTTCGACAAAGATTTGTTTTTTGAGGACTTGAATTCGAGAATATAAATCCTTACTGTGCGAGAACGGTACTCGCAAGTTGCGTTTCCGATAGTTTGAGCCACGAGCATAGATTGGAGCAGTATTTCGTTGTGACAAGAAGGTGGAAAGTGCCTGGACAAAAGATGTGGTGGAGACAACAGCGGTTTTCCAGATGCAATCGTGGAATTCAAGAAGTCGAATTGAGAATGCTGTTCGTGGCACATCAGGGGAGCTGGCAATGTATCCATAGTGGATAAGTCGTACTACATCTGGGATGCAAAGGCAAAAAGGTACTCGTACGGCTGACTCTTGATCTGTTGGATTGAAAACATTCTGATTAGCTTGGTGACACAGTGAAAATACCAATACAAAATGACTTACGAAGAAAATCAAAAAGGTCCATGTTTCTGTAGACAACATGTGCTGGATCACATGTACAAGTACCTCCAAGGAGGCTGAAATTACTGTTCTTCGGATTAACATGGACTTGCCAGTTCATCGTTATTTTTTGGCACAGGAGGAAGGCAGCGGTGGCTTGTTCTTCAAGTTCGGTCCATCGCTGGCTTAATCGTTCTCGTGCTTCTGCGTAACGTCGAGCTCGATGATAGGCGGCATGGGCAGCGCATGGAAGTTGTGCTTCTGCTTCATCTGTTTGTTGCTGAGTATCAAGGTCGACATAGTTGCCTGTGATGACTGGGTCTGGGAGTTCATCTGTCGGTCCGGTTGGAGGCCCCGGGATTCCTCGTGCATAGCTGCTATCGACAAAACCAAGTTCTTGTGCTATAGATACTTCCTCAAGAAAGGCCTGCCGGTCTTGAATCTCCTCGGCTTGGTGTCTCAACTGGGCTCGGGTGCTACGGCTGTGGCGTGATGTTCCAGTATTGAGGTTATTGACAATGAAAGTGGGGTCTCGTCTGCGGTTGGAGTTGCGGACCATCGTGATTCGTATTGATTGTATACTGTGGATTGAGGAAGGCAGAGGGATGTTTTAACCAAAAAGAGAGGGGGAAATGATGTCATTAGCCTTGCCGCAGGCTGGGGTGCACAGCACTGACTTACGGATTTGAGGACAAGTCGGTTTCTGGGTAGGGAATTGAGGATAAGTAAAGAGTGAAAACGAGAAGAAAGGAGCGGGCGGAATCACCTACTGAGATGTGTCCGCGTGTGAAGATTGTGGACTATTGCATAGTTGATTTAGAGTCGCCTGGGGTGCCTCGACCACCTCCTTTGCGGAGAGAAGATTCATATTACTCATACATGCCTCCAGATGTACATATGTCGTATGGATGGACTCCGGGGCAAAGCACACCAATCGTAGGCAGGAGAGGGATTAGTCATGTTATGACATCTAGCGTGCGGACAACTACAAAAACAAAAAAACTAAATCCCCTTGCAGAAGAATTTACAATTAACAAGGAATCAAGGTGAATGTGAACAATTAAATTTTACAGAGAAAAAACTTTGCAAAGGATTCTTTTCCTGACTTCAAGGTTTCATTTTTGATTTTGGATATTTGCTTGTTTCTAGTGATGATAGGCCTATCAGTGAATATGAGGAAAATGCCAAGGCTCAGGGAGATTCTGAATCCAATAAAAAAGGTGGCCCTCCAATTCAGCCCTTGAGTCCAAGAGGCAAAGCTTGCCCCAGGAAACACTTGCATATTCAATCTCCTTCCTCAGATGAGGAGACAAACTGTCAAAAATATGCAGAGGTTCAGGTGAGTTTCCAACAGATCTTTTAACTCAGATTTATTGTGTAATCATGTGAATTCATGATCATTATACATCTGCATACTAACAATGAACATGCACTTATGAATGTGTAATATTGTGAAAAGAAGGATGAAGACAAATTTAACACATTTGACGAGAGCAAAACCAGACAAGACAGTGTTACTGAAAGACTTCATGTTGGTTCTTCAGGATTTTCAGAACCAGAATTGTTGCCTCTCAAAACCTCCACTGGTAGAGTTGTGATGAATATATAGGTCAATCAGTTCCTTCTATGTACACAGTTTCAAAATCAAAACTTTTAGAGATGAATTCTTATTCAAAAAAGATAGATGCATCAAATGCACAGCAGCACACAAGTCAAATCAGACCACATGGGATTAAATTTTCTTCTCACAATTTCTTTGAGTCTGGTGAAAAAATAAAGCACCCAAAATTCTCAGGCCAAGCTAATGTAGTAATGACAGAATCAACAAAGCCAGCACTGATACCCAAATTCCTGGTTAAACCACCAACACATTTTTCATCTGAACTAGCATGGATTGGCCCAGAGTTGGTTGATCACACAATTAAAGAAGATTCTTTATCATTGTTTTCCTCAAACAAGAATCATATTGCTGCAGAATCCACCAAAAGTTCTGGGACCTTACACAAGAAAAGTAATACAAGTGGTACCTCTAAAATATTGAGCAAGGAAAAAGATATACATTTTCCTGTTTTGTCCACTGATAACAACACTTTTGAAAAGCAATCCTCACAAGAAAAAAGCTTCAATCAAAGTGCCCAGGACAAAATGCTCAAAGAAACCAAATATAATCTCAAACCATATTTTAGGATGTCTAAATCTGACTCTTTTGGTTCTTCTGATCTTGGCCAAATTTCCTCCACAGTTAAAGGCAAAATAAGCTTACCTAGAGCATCAGGTCATCCAGTTAATGATATAAACATTACTTCTAAATCAAATTCTAAAGGTTTAGAGATGAATTCTTCTTCAAAAACAATGGATGTGAGAGGCACACAGGAGAAAACAAGTCAAATCAAACCAGAAAGAATTGATGCACATTCCTACAAATCCTTTGAGTCTGATGGCAACATCAAGAAATCAACATTTCAGGACAAGGACTGTGTTGTGCTCTCATCTGATAAACAATTAAAAAAATGTGCACTGCTGGTTGAACCAACAACATATTATTCATCTAATATTGCAATGTGGATGAGCCCCAAAAAGCTGTGTAAGAAAAAAAATGAGGAAAAATGTATGTTCTCTTCTTCAAATAAGAAATTTACTCCTGAATATTTCAGCACAAGCTCTGGAGCCCCACATGATGAAAGCCATGATATTTGGAATTTGGAGAAATTGAAAAAGAGTGTAGGTAGAAAGCCTAATTCCAATGTTGTCAGAAACTCAAAAAATTTAAAGAAAGCCATACAAGAAGATAGCTCTTATCAAGGCTTCCTGGACAATGTTCCCAAAGAGCTACTAGATAAGACAAAGACCCTGGCTTCTGAACAACTTTCATTGCCTGAACAGGATGTGGGGCTATCAGATTTGGAAGAGGATATGAATCTGAATTTCCCTAACTTGTACCAAAGAGTTGTGACAAATTCAAAATCTGAAAGTGAAAAGAGAGGATTCAGAGAGATTCAAGAAATTCTTGAAAATCCAAAAGTATCATCAAGTCCCCAAAAACTTGATTGTAAAAATATGAATTATGAAAAACTTCAAGCAAAGATTCAAAAGCTCAAGTAAGTGACATTACAAAATTCTCTCAGTTTTCTATCTTGTTTTATCTAGGGCTTAAACTTTGACTTCTTATAACCTTATCTCACTGAAGAGATTCCAAGAAAAGGGAGAGGAAAAGGGTTAAATAAATATCCAATGCTCCAGCTTCAACACTGAGTAATGGTCACTGGCCAATAATTTGAAATTACAGCATTAACCCATCTGTGACTAGAGGAACTGAAAGACTGAAAATGAGTGTCAGCCTCTGGGTAACTAACCTGAGTATTTAATAGTAAAAAGGTTGTTACTATGAGTTGACTGAAGTTTTTTGAGCGTGGTGAGTGTTAGGTAGTGGGTGATTTATACCAGTCCTGTAAAGAGGAGGTTTCACTCTATCAGTATGGTCTTTACTGAGAGGCTTGCTATCAACAGCGCATCCGGATCAATACAAGGTATTAATAGGCATCCAGGGTACTAAGACTCACCTGGGATTGATTTGGTTATTCCCCAAAGGGAATGGGCTAACAATACTTATTAAGCTTTAACAAAATTAGTTGAAGATTAACAGGTATTGTTGATGGGAATATTCAGCAAGGCTATGAATACTGTGGATAAGTTGAGTAAGAGTACTGAAGCTTAAGAACAATAAATGTAGACAAGATTTATGTTGGTTACGGGTACTGTATCAATATAAATGTTAACTGGTTTAACTGGTGTCTGAATATTCTGGGGATTAATCAGTGGAAGTGGCACGGATTATAAGTTCCAGAATACTGAAGGGGGAAAGAATGAGCGCTCAGAATCAAGGGAGCTTTGGCCAGGAGAATGAGCACATCAATTGAGTGACTGATCATTATTTGTCATGATCTGTAAGTGACATCATAATTGTGTACTAGTTGATCAATGTACTAGTTGCTCTTGATGTGTACTTAACAGATCCTCTAATAATGTAGTCATAATTGTGATCTGTGCATGTATTGAATGTATTAATTCTATTGACACTTAATACTTACTATTTAATACATGTACATATTTATTTGTAATAATATTTGACCGTGAAAATACTGTAGCAGAGGGATAACTTGTGGTACAGGTATTTCACGGACAAGGGAGTGAAAGGTAAGTGATAATTACTTATGTAGAACACAGGTATGTATTTAATAGATAAGTAATTAACAGATAAGATAACAGTAAGATAAATAAGATAAGTTAATGATAATAATAAGATAACAAGAGGTAAAGGTAATCAACATTATGGATAAGTACTTATGTACATAAGTACAGGTGTTGCAGTTACTTGGTACATGAAAGGTACTGTGACATGTACTCTGTAGCTGACACTTCCTCCCTCTAAAAAAGGCTGATCCAAGAAATAAATGAATGTTATTTTCTTTTATCAGCTCTGTATTGTCTGAGAATTTTATCAGCATCAGGTATTTTATCAACTGTAAGCCATTCATCTTCTTTGGTACCACTGTATCTTACTAAATACTGTTTAATGTCCTCATTGTTTTTTCTGATTTTTCTATGTTGTAATATCTTCTTAATTTTAATTTCTTCTTTCTCTAAAGGAGGTATTACAACTCTGATGTTATCTTTTCTTAAAGGAAATTTATCATTATCACTAGTTTTGTATGGTTTGATTAGACTGACTGGAAATGTAGGGTGTTTTCTTTCTAATTCTCCAGTGAGTATAACTTCAACAGCATTTGCACCGTGTAATTGTTTGATTGTAAAAGGTCCTACAAAGGAATCTCTTAATTTTTTAGGTCCAGTCAGATTTGTAAAATTAAATGTAGATATCAAGACTTGGTCTCCAACTTTAAACTGGTGAGCTTTGTGAGTTTTATCCCATCTAGTTTTGTTGTAATCTACAGCTAATTTCACGCATTCTGCTGCATATTTTTCAGCTTTGGTCATCATAAAATGAAAATCAGAGGCACTTGGGTGTATATGTACTGCTTTTGACATTAAAATTTCTTTGGGAAACCAAGGAGTCCAACCTCTTTCCAATTCATAAGGTGTTTTATTTGTTGTACTGTGTTTGCTAGAATTGTAAGCATATTCAAGTGCAGGTAATAATGAACACCAATCATGAGTATAGTTGTCTTTATCCTTAAATGTCATTCCATAGGCACAATATCTTCTGATCATGTCTTCCAAAGTTTGAATCATTCTTTCAGCTAGTCCATCTGTTTGGGGGTGGTAAGCTGTAGAAAATTTCAGTTGTGTCCCGCATAAATCATATAAATTTCTCCAAAATTCTGACGTAAATTTAGGGTCTCTGTCTGTAATGATATATCTGGGACATCCAACATCATAAATAATAGAATTCCAAAATAATAAGGCAGTATCCATTGCTGTATCTTCTTTATGACATGGTAGAAATCTTGCTCTTTTGGAAAATCTATCAACTACTACTAAAATTGCATTGAAATTATTAAGTCCTCCGGGTGGTAAGCCAGTAACAAAATCCATGTTAAT